AAACGACTAGCCGGGTCGTTATAATAAACATGCTTTAGCTACGTACGAATTCTCATCACATCGTGTGTACGTAGCACCCACAACTAGTAGCACATAACATTTACATCACCTAGGGGTAGTTTCCCCCTCACAAGGTTAGACAAGAGACTTACCTCACTCCGAAGTTCCATAACTGGCTCTATCGCCTCACTAGAACCTCAAACCAATGCCCATCTATCCGAAACTAGTCAAAAAATCATGAAAACCAATAAAAATATTCTCCAACACTCATAATTAATTAATTTATAACAATTCCCAACTTCACTCGAAAGGTAAACAAAGTCAACCCTCGGACCCACGTGCCCAGATTCTGAATATCTTCGAAGATAAACATTACCCATAACACCACGAATTCAAATATATAATCAATTCCTAATTTCATGTCCAATTTCGTGGTGAAAATACAAAAATACCAAATTCTAGGTTTTCTTCCAAATCCCACAATTTCTACAAAATTCCATGTTTAAATCCATATATAGTCCATGTATTTATCTTACAACAAGTAGTAAGAACTTACCTCATGATATATAGCAAAAATGATCTTCAAGAATCGCCCTAAATCTCCCCACATGTGCTCCAAGAACTTAAAGGTTACCCACATCTCGAAATTAGATGTTTAATACACCTGCCAGGCCTCCTCTTTCGCGATCGTGGTCATTACCCATGCGATCACGGCCAAATCCATGCTATCGCGATGTATAAATTTTATTTTCTTCTTCACAGACACACTTTGGTATAATGGCCAAAACGTTTTGTACAAAATTTCAAATGATAAACAGTTTGTCTTTCTAAAAAGTATATTCAAAGGGCTACAACTTTTATTTTTTGATCATCTCCAAATTCCTTGTAGATTGCAAGATATAAGCTCCCGAAGTCAAACGAGTGTCAGCAGAAATGACCTACGGACCTCCAATTCAACATCCGAACATGCTCCTAAGCCCAATATCACCCTACAAAGCTATAGGAACCTTCAAAACTCCATTCCGGAGTCGTCTTCACACAATTCAAACTACGGTCGATTCTTACGACTTAAACTTTCATTTTAGGGACTATGTGTTCCATTACACTCCGAAACCAAAAACAAATTCTTCCGGCAAATCATAAAGCCAAAAATGAAATATAGGGAGCAATAATTAGGGGTTCAGGGCTAATACTCTCAAAACGACTAGCCGGGTCGTTATAATAAACATGCTTTAGCTACGTACGGACTCTCATCACATCGTGTGTACGTAGCACCCACAACTAGTAGCACATAACATTTACATCACCTAGGGGGTAGTTTCCCCCTCACAAGGTTAGACAAGAGACTTACCTCACTCCGAAGTTCCATAACTGGCTCTATCGCCTCACTAGCACCTCAAACCAATGCCCATCTATCCGAAACTAGTCAAAAAATCATGAAAACCAATAAAAATATTCTCCAACACTCATAATTAATCAATTTATAACAATTCCCAACTTCGCTCGAAAGGTAAACAAAGTCAACCCTCGGGCCCACGTGCCCAGATTCTGAATATCTTCGAAGATAAACATTACCCATAACACCACGAATTCAAATATATAATCTATTCCTAATTTCATGTCCAATTTCGTGGTGAAAATCCAAAAATACCAAATTCTAGGTTTTCTTCCAAATCCCACAATTTCTACAAAATTCCATGTTTAAATCCATATATAGTCCATGTATTTATCTTACAACAAGTACTAAGAACTTACTTCATGATATATAGCAAAAATGATCTTTAAGAATCGCCCTAAATCTCCCCACATGTGCTCCAAGAACTTAAAAGTTACCCACATCTCGAAATTAGATGTTTAATACACCTGCCAGGCCTCCTCTTGCGCGATCAGGGTCATTACCCATGCGATCGCGGCCAAAACCATGCTATCGCGATGTATAAATTTTATTTTCTTCTTCACAGACACCCTTTGGTATAATGGCCAAAACGTTTTGTACAAAATTCCAAATGATAAACAGTTTGTCTTTCTGAAAAGTATATTCAATGGGCTACAACTTTTATTTTTTGATCATCTCCAAATTCCTTGTAGATTGCAAGATATAAGCTCCCGAATTCAGACGAGTGTCAACAGAAATTCCTTCTACGCGATCGCGACCCTTCCATCTGCGATCGCGATTTACAAGGCCTGAATCGCACTTTACCCTTTGCGATCGCGGCTCAGACCTCTGCAATATCATATCACACCACCGACACGAGTTATCAGCATTTCCAAAAGCCGAAAAGTGGTTCGAAACCACCCCAAAATATCAGCCGAGGTCCGAGGAACTCCATTCAGTCATTTTAATAAGTTTATATACCCTATGTAAACTTGTCCGAAGGCTCGGAACACATGTTAAAACATCGAAACTAAGAATTAAGGATCAAAGTCAATTTATTAAACTCTCTTAACTTTCAAACATTCATCATTCGTCGAACGCGTCTGAAGCACACGTAAACATTTTGGAATGATGCCAAATTTTGCGTACAATCACAAATCACAATACGAAACTATTCCAAGGCTCGAAATCCCAAATGAACTTCAATAACACCAAAGTCTACTTCTACTTGAACTTAGGAAATTCTAAAACCTTCAAAATGTCAGCTTTCAACAATCAACGCCGAAATGCTCCCGGACCATCTGATACTTAACCCAAACATACACCCAAGTCCAAAATCATCATATGAACCTATTGGAACCTTCAAATCTTGATTCTGAGGTCGTTTACTCTAAAGCCAAACCTTGGTCAACTCTTTCAACTTAAAATTTCTGAATTGAGGATTGTTTCCTTCCAAATCAACTCCAAACTTCCCGAAATTCAAATACAAGTCATAATACTTGAAGTGAAGCTACTCAAGGCCTCAAACCACCGAAGGACACGCTAGAGATCAAAACGACCGGTCAAGTCATTAAATTATCTATCTTCATTTCTCTCAACCGGGCAAGCACATCAGGGAAGTTCTTTTCCAGAGTTTTCACATTAGTTCGCATTTTGGAGACGTACCTCCCATATGGCACTAAGGTATGATACCATTGGATGGCATCCTCACGAACTAGATCCAAATAAGTTTTTTTGTCCCGATGGTTCTTTCTTTGACCCACCAGCAACCTGCTTTCCTTTAGCTTTCCGAGACAAACCTTCACTCTGCTTGCATTTTTCGGGAGGGGGAGCAACAGTAGAGGACTTCCCCACTCCTTTTCCCTTGGTAGCACTGTCACGAGCCATAGCAACCTACACACGATAAACATGAATGTGAGAATGAATTAAGAAATTTGCCCAAGGTCATCGTGAGAGTCAAAGATGACCCCACACTTAAAACCAAAGGCTCTATATAATCTACTCACAATAGTGGCTAAAAGTGCACAAATGTTGCACCGCAAGACGATGGGTACTCAAGACTTCCCCATGCCACACAATTGTAATTCACTAACTATTCCACACAATTCAAGTAGGCGAACATGGCCATGATTTAGCCTTAGTGCAAGCAAGCAATACTTGAGTCCGATCTACTACAACTAGTATAATACATTAACTACTTCTAACAAAGTGATACATCATACATAATATAATATACATGGTGTGGGTGGTGTGATTATGGTATGGTGAGCATTAAAAACAAGCTCGGGCTATTGAAAACCACCCCCAAAACACCCCACACTTAGCCCACATCACATACAACGACACTCGGCTACTTAGACTTCATCGGTGCACAATTTACTCTTTCAGGCATTATATCAAACAAATGGTGGGCATCAATTTTGTTTCTCTTTATTCAACAATGGTGGAACAAGGTGGCCCTCCTAAATTTTAAATGAAGTAGAGGGAATTATAGTTTACTACTACATAGATAACTTCACAACCAATTTCAACAACCAATTTTTACATAGAGGCCATCCACCATAACAACACAAAGTCTAAAAGAAACTTAGGGATGATTGGGGAGTGGGGGTCATTAGAGATGGGGTTGGGGGGTAATAGTATAACACAAAGAAAGCACAAAATTAGAAGAAAAGAGGGAAGAAGAAGACACATACCAGTGATGTTGAGATGAAAGCAAGCAAAAACAATAGAGAATTTCAGAGAGAGAGAGAGAGAGAAAGAGATGGGCATAGGGGGTTGTTTGAGAGAAAGAGAGTACGGGTAAGAGATAGAAGGGTTGAGTGCTTGTTTAATCTGAGGAGAGATGGATTAGGTTATTGGGTATGGGTTGTTATGTGAATATAGGTGGGTAGTTGGGTAGGGTTATATGGGTTACTAATTTAACTAAAAAAATTAAAGTAAAAAGAAAATAAATAAAAAATAAATAAAAACGACTTACCTAACCCCCAGCCCAGCACCCCATGCTAGGCCTGGCACTGGTGGTTTTAAAATTTCTATTTTGTCCGCCCCAGGCAGCGTGGGGCACTGGCCTGGGCGCTAGTTTTGCAATTTCTTTTTTGAATAAACACCCACAACTCGAGCACTTAATACATCCATTATACACATCCAACACCATTCCTTCCTATGATTTCTATTACTACAAAGAAATCAAAAATATCTAGTCTACTGTGATTGGAAAAACAAAATGCTAAGCTACAAAAATACTAAAAATTGGGTTGTCTCCCAACAAGAGCCTGATTTAACATCGTGGTACGATGCAACACGTTCCCTCACGCATCTACCAAGTCTATCAAAGTTTTGTGATGATGAACGCCACCACCCCAATAATATTTTACTCTCTGCCTATTGACTAAAAATGTGCCCTTGCTCCTAGATTCTTTAGCTCAACGACTCCATGCTTTGTAACCCGCACTACTTTAAATAGACCCGACCATCTAGTCTTGAGCTTTCAAGGAAAGAGATTCAACCTTGAATTGAACAATAGAACAACTTGACCTGGTTCGAACTCATGATGCAAAATGTGTTTGTCATGTCATCTCTTTGTTTTCTCTTTATACAACTTCGCATTCGCATATGCATGCAGTCAAAACTCTTCAAGCTCATTCAGTTGCAACATCTGTTTTTCCCCAGCTAGATCCATATAAAAGTTGAGCTTCTTAATTGCCCAATATGCCTTGTGTTCAAGCTCAACAAGCAAGTGACAAGCTATTCCATAAACTAACCTGTACCGTGAAGCGCCAATTGGAGTTTTGTATGCCGTGTGATATGCCCACATAGCATCTTCTAGCTTGCTAGCCCAATCCTTCCTACTTTCTCTTACTGCCTTCTCCAAAATTCTCTTCACCTCCCTATTTGAGACCTCTACTTGACTACTGGTTTGCGGATGATAAGCAGTTGTGACCTTGTGTCTCACCCCATACTTAGCTAAGAGGTTGCCCAGCATTTTGTTACAAAAGTGAGTACCTCAATCACTGATCAAAGCATGCGGAGTCCTGAATCTGGTGAAAATATTTTTCTTCACAAAGCTTACCACAACTTTAGCATCATTCGTAGGCAAAGCCACAGCCTCAGCCCACTCTGACACATAGTCAACTGCAACCAAGATGTATTGATGGCCATTTGATGTTGGAAACGGCCCCATGAAGTCTATTCCCCAAACATCGAAGATTTGGGCCTCAAGTATGCCCTTCAATGGTATCTCATGCCTTCTCGAAATTGTACCCCTCCTTTGGCACCTATCACACATCTTCACAAAAGCATGTGCATCCTTAAATAGCTTAGGCCAATAGAATATCGACTGCAACACTTTTGCAATCGTTTTGTCTCCACCATGGTGCCCCCCTATATGGTGATGCAATCATGTAAAATTGCCTCCATCTCCTCCTCAGGAACACATCAGCGCACCAGCTGATCTGCACACGACTTAAATAAAAATGGCTCATCATATAGATAAAGCCTCACATCATGCATGGATTTCCTCTTACCATCCGGAGATAACTCTAACGGGGTCACCCCACTTACAATGAAGTTCACATAGTCAGCATACCATGAGGCTATGCCAGCTGTGATGGCTAGAAATTGCTCATCAGGAAAGCTTTCCTGAATTTTTCCCCTTCCTCAACATGTGCGCAAGTTTCCAAGCGTGACAAACGGTCCTCCACCTGATTCTCTGTCCCTTTTCGATCTTTGATTTCCACGTCAAATTCCTGCAAGAGAAGAACCTAATGAATTAGTCTAGGCTTAGCATCCTTTTTCTCAAACAAATACCTGATTTTTACATGGTCTGTGTAGACGATGACTTTAGTTCCCACCAAGTAGGCCCTAAATTTTCCAAACGCTCCTACTACCGCTAGCATCTCTTTTCTGTGCTTGGTAATTTACCTGGGCTAGATTTAGAGTTTTGCTAGCATAGTAGATTGAGTGGAATACTTTATTTTTCCTCTGGCCCAATACGGCCCCAATTTCCATGTCACTGGTATAACACATCAACTCAAAAATATTTCCCTAGTCTAGGGCGGTGATAATCGGTGCAGTCACCAATCTCTTTTTTAACACCTCTTACGCCTTCAAGCAGTGTTCATCAAACTTGAAGGGTGTATCCTTCTCAAGTAACCTGCACAAGGGAGCATAAATCTTAGAGAAATCTTTATTGAATCTACGATGGAAACCTGCATGTCCCAAAAAGCTTTTGACTCCTTTGATAGAGATTGAAGGTTGCAGTTTTTCAATTGCATCCACTTTTGCCTTATCCACCTTCAACCCATCTTTGGACACCTTGTGCCCGAGTACAATTCCTTCTCGCACCATAAAATGGCACTTTTCCTAATTTAGCACTAAGTTCTTCTCTTCACACCTGGCAAGCACTTTACTTAAATTCGTTAAGCATTCATCAAAAGATAGTCCGAAGACCAAAAAATCATCCATACATACTTCAACAAATTTTTTGACCATATCAGTGAAGATTGCCATTATGCACCTTTGAAACGTCACAGTGCATTGCACAACCCAAATGGCATTCACTTAAAAGCATAAGTGGTATAAGGACAAGTCGATCAGTCCTTTAATGTAAGCACATGCATCCATATGATGCACCATCTCCTTCACCTCATCATCCAAGTCAATATTGTCAAACAATATAATTGCTTTCTCTAGAGAGTCATCCAGATATGCACCCACATCAAAGCATAAGTGGCATAAGTAGCACCAAATGATTTACTTTCTTACCACTTCCTTCATCATTATGTTCAAGTGGTGTTGGTGTTCTACCCTCGGTTTGTGCCCATCCTCCATGAGAATTTTATGCATACAAAATGTTGGGCTAATACCACGGATATCAGCCATGGTCCATCCAATCGTCCGCTTGTTCTCTCTAAGCATGCGAAGTAGCTTTTCTTCCTACAAAAGAGATAATTCAGAAGATACAACAACATGTAAAGTTTCATCGATACCTAAATAGGAGTAATAAAGATGGGAGGGTAGGGGATTGAGTTCCAATTTCGGAGCTTCTTCAATAGACGACTTGGGGGGTATCCCAATTGGTCTATCTAGAGGCTCGAAATCGATCAGTCCTTTGATGTAAGCACATGCATCCATATGATGCACCATCTCCTTCACCTCATCATCCAAGTAAATATTGTCAAACAATATAATTGCTTTCTCTAGAGAGTCATCCAGATATTCACCCACATCATTTTTTTTCTTCCTATTTTTCAATCACAAATATCATAGCTATATCCTCAAAGTGAATTGCCCTATATACATTAAACACTGCTTCCACATTATCAACCCGGAGGATCATTTTTCCTTCACGAACTTTGGTCATGGCATCAATGGTGGCTAAGAGAGGTTATCCCAAGATGATGGGGATTTGTTCATCAGCTTCATAGTCTAATATAATGAAATATGCTGGCAAAATAAATTGCCCAATTTGCAGTAGCACATCTTCTATCACCCCCTCGGGATGGACAATAGATCTATTAGCAAGTTATAACATGACTGTGGTTAGCCTTGGAGCTCCCAACCCCAATTGATTGAATACTGATAGGGGCATCAAATTTATGCTAGCTCCCAAATCACAAGTGCTCGTCCCACATCTACCTCACCAATTCGAACAGGTTTTGTGAAGCTCCCCTGATCCTTCAACTTTTGCTACAAATTTCTTTGAATTCTCAAGGTGCACTCTTCAGTAAGTGCAACAGCTTCAAACTCTATCAACCTCCTTTTGTTAGCCACAATATCTTTTATGTACTTAGCATATTTTAGGATTTCACGTAGCACATCAATCAATGGAAGATTCAATTGAATTTGGCTTAGCATATCAAGAAATTTGTTGATTATCCTGTCATCACTTTTCTTCTTCAATCTTTGTAGGCAAGGAGGTGCTGGCCTTACAATTAGAGTCTTTTCACTATCTTCAGTTTCTTTCTCAGCTTCTCCCACAGTTTTAGGGATCAGTTCACCCTTAGGAGTGACTTGTTTTTTTGGGACTTCTTCTAATTCTCTGCCATTCCTCAAAGTTACAACATTTACCTGAAGATTCTTATCTGTATCGCTGGGAAGGCCCCCTGCAGATCGTGCATTTTGGTGTGCAGCCAACTGCCCACTCTGCCTCTCTATATTTCGAAATTCAGTCCTCAATTGCTGATTATCTATTCGAAGTTGCTGGTTGTCAATCAACAGCTTTTTCAACATATCATTAGTTCTTTCTTCTACCTGTTGAGGTAGCTTTTGAGGCTGATTATAGTTCCCTTGAGGCATGTATTGATTCTGAGTGGTCTGGTTCCCACCCCATGAGAAATTCAGATGATTCCTCTAGTTGGGATTATAGGTATTCCCATATTGATTATTCTGGTTCATTGGACATCTACCTTGCTGGCCCACATAATAAAAGATTCAGGATTCACCGGACATTGATCACTCATATGGACAAATCCACAAATTTCACAACATATGGCCATCCTATGAACCTGCTGCATTTGATTCCCTTGACCCATGGCCATCTTAGACATTTGGTTGTTTAGTTTAGCAATCTTTACTCGCACGACAGACATCTCATCCAGATCGAGTGTACATGCTGCTTTCTGTTTTATCACCCTTCTTGAGTTACTCTCACCTTGCCAGTTATGATCATTTGCAGTGAAATTGTTCAGTAGAGTCTGAATCTCACTGTATGGCTTTTGCATGCAACTTCCTCCACAAGCTAAGTCTAGATTCAATTTGGAGGTCTCGTCCAAGCCATCCACAAAAGTATGTCCCAACACCTCATCAGTCTGACAATGATGTGGGTAGTCTTTGAGTAGTTTCTTGTATCTTTCCCAGGCTTGACAAACAGTCTTACCATCTTGTTATTGAAACCTAAGAATCTGGCTCCTCAACGAATTTGTTTTCTTTGTGGGGAAAAACTTGATTAAAATTTTTTGTGCCAGATCATCCCAAGTGTGGATCGAGTTAGCGGGCTCTTTGTTTAATCATTTCTTAGCTACCCCCAGCAGTGAAAAGGGAAACAGAGTCAGTCTAACATAGTCCTTGGAGATGTTTGGATAGTTGTATGTATCTGTAATCTCCAAAAGGTTCTGAAAGTGCCGTTACAGATCTTCATGAGATAGATGATATTCAGCATAATGTATGCATATTTTGATGTATATTGCCTCGTATTGTGCTCATGTATCATAGATTTCGGATGTATAATATAATGATTTGTGATAATTTGTGATATTTCTATGTGTAAGAATCATCCATATGCGATTTGGGATGAAAGTGTATGAATTGGAGCGAAAATGGGAAGAAAAAGCAAAAGTGCCCAATTGAGCGCCACAGGTAGCGTGAGGCACTACCTATGGCATACAAAATAGTATGCTGAAGAAGCCCAGTGCCAGGGCCGGTGCCCTATGCTGCCTTGGGTGCTGGTGACGCGGATCTATCCTATTTCAACCAGGACTCAGTTATTTCGACCCCAAGACGCCCCAACTCATATGAAAGCCAACCTAAAAATATTTTAGGGAGGAGGACGTGACGTTGAGAGAGGAACAAAAGTACGAAACACTCGGGTGCATGGATTTGATCAGTTCTTCTTTTTGTCTTCTAGTGTTCATTGATTTTATGTTTGAAAACGTTATTTTTTATGATTGTATGAACATGAGTGGCTAAGAAACCTATTATTCTAGGGTCATGGTTGCAACATGAATGTTGGCGTTTAAATTGAGGAGTTTGATTTTATCATATTGGGTTGTTTATTTAATTATTTTCTTAATTAGTTGCTGAGTATCTAACTGTGAAATACTATCTACGAATCTAGAATTGAACTCGAAAGTTGGAATTATAGATTGCATATAGGATTAAATAGAGAAAGTTCTTGAACCCGGGCATTGGGGAACGTATTCGCAATTAGGATAGAAATATACCTAATTGCCTTGATTGGTTGAAATACAGGAAGTGTAAATGCAT